GGCCCGGGCCCGCCCCCTCCGTTTTTGGCAGGCCAATGACGGGCCGGGCCAAAACGGGCCAGGCTGGCCCGTTTTGCCATCCCTGGTATCACTATTGTTTATAGCTTAAGTGTGAGTAATGGTGGATGACACTCCATGCCAACCAACTAGAAATCGTTGGAAAAAACTTTCTTCATGTGATGTTGAGTCTTTTAGTTGTACTTTGAACTTTGTGCAACTTATTCCTTTGTTTGTCAAAAGTCGATTGCTTGAGTTCTAATTTATCATCTTTGTGTAACTCCAACTAGTAATCTTGTTTATATTCTCATTGCTTGTTCATAATGTCATTTAAAAGTTCTTGTTACAATTCTAGTTGATTTAATATGTTTGTCACTTAGTTAACTAGACATAATCTTTAGTATAGACTAGTCATCTTTTAACCATGTCCTATTGGTCTATTTTGATAAATTATCAATAAATAAAAATAATAATTTACTATAATATAATATTTATATTTAATTATATATAATTTATTATAAATTTTAGTTATATAAAATAAGTACAAATTAAATCACTAGTTATGATATAAAAATAAAGAGTGTATAACAAAAAAATATATGTAAATTATTATATTTCTTAATTTATGTAAAATAATCGTAAACTACTGTTATATAAAAGACAGAAGAAGTATAATATACATATGTTAATTAATGGTAGTACGTGGTTATATGATTATCAGAAGAAAGATTTATTCGAAATAGAATCTACTAATAAGAAAATAATAAGGCATGATTCTAAGATAATCTCCATTTATTTAGTAGCGTTCCCCATTTCATATACCTGTTACCGAGACGTTGGAGCAGCTGGATGATAGTCTCATCTTCTTCTTTAGTGTAGTTTCCTCTTTTGATGTCTGGCTTTAAGTAATTCAGCCACCTTAACCTGCAACTTTTTCCACTCCTCTCCAGACCTGAAAAACCAATCCATTTTACATGCATAATTAACCTTCATAAAGAAAAAATGACAATTTAATTAAAATTAAAAATCCGTAGAAAACTCATGAGTTGGTATTTGGTATGTGTTGATGATGGTAATGGTGCTCATAGTTTCTGGCATGATGATTGATTTGAGCTGGTATGTAATAGAAGAGTTTAATTAGTTACCTGCAAACTTGGGGAGAAGGTTCCAATTCCAGTGGCCATATCTGGTAACATAAGCAATCAATTTCTCGTCTTCCTGTGGTGTCCATGTTCCTTTCCTAAGTCCAGTTTTATCAGAGAAAGTGTTTTTCACCATCTCTTCAACTTGCTTATGTTTTAGTGTCTCTGTCGCTAAGATCGAAAACTGAGTGAGACAGAAAAGTGGGCAAAGAAACCAAGTCTTGATCTTTCTTTTCCTCACGACCAAAAGTTTGCATACTCTCGCCTATTATTTATACACTTTCGGATGGAGAAAAAAAATAAAATAAAAAAAATACACGATTCATTCACAACCACGTATAAATCAGGCCCACGTTGATTCCATATCTCTTTCGTGTACATTTTTGTCTTCTGGATGTGATTGAATAACGAATATTTAAATTTATTTAACAAAAACAAAGTGAATAGTTATGTGTATTTTTCGGTTTATTTTTCTATATTTTTTATTTTAAAAATAATTTTTTAGTTGGATAATTTTAATTATTTTATCTTTTAGTTTTTATATTTTAAAATAATTTTTTAGTTTTTATCTTTATTAATCTATAATTTTGATCTTTCTATTTTAAAATAAAAATATTTAGTCCCCTATTTTTATACATAAAATTTTAGTCTACTATTAATTTTAATTTGATGACTTATGTTTGTTAAATTCTAATGTTGTTAGATAATCTGTTACCACTTACGTAACATGATTTTTAATGATGTGATGAGTAGGGATAAAAATAAAAAATAAAAAAAGAATATGCATCTATTTTAATGAGTCATTATATTTATTTTATTAATAAATCTTATTTAAATGTTATTTTTTAGTTTATTTTACCTACAACTGTCATGTTCCTAAATGACACATTAATTAAATATGAGTAAGCATTAAAATTTAATCATTAATAGATGTCAATTTGAAGAAATGACCAAAATTTCTTATTTTTAAAATTAAAAGGACTGAATATCTCTATTTTAAAATAGATGAACCAAAATTGTGGGTGTATAAAAATAGACCAATCAAAAGTGTAATTTAGCCTAAATCTTTTAATCCCTATACTTCAATCTTTTAATATTTTATTTTTTGTTGTTAATTTCTTTGTAACATTTTTGTGTGTTCTTATTAAATCTATGTGACAGTGATTTATTTGATTTTGTAGATGGTGATATGCTAATTAATAGTTTTGGAGGAAAAAAAATGAAAAGATGGTTTTATGAATAATCAATATTTACTATGACTGAATATGATACGAATGAGTAGTCAAATTGTTTATAATTGCATTGTAAACTACTAAGTTACACATATTGTCCAAAAAAAAAATCAAATAAATCATTATCATATAGACAGAAACAACCTTACAAAAGATAATTACATCAAGGACTATAAAGAATTAAAAAAATATAAATATGAGGTAAAAGAGTCTATTTTATATTATAAAAATAAAAGTAAGTGAAATTATAAAAATTAAAAAGACATTTTAACCTTTAAAAAATAAGTAGTTTTTTTTATATTTTTTTAAGAAGCATAATATCATTTTATATTTATTTTTAAAATTCAACTTATTCTCTATATTGTATTAGGCAAAAAAATGAACATGATTTGTGTGTACTACTATTGGTAGAATTATTTCGTATAATAATTAAGTCTACATTTAATTTCAATAATTTAAACGTTAAATTAAAATATCTTAATTAATAGATAAATAAAATCTATAATTTGTAAAGTTTTAAAATTATGATACTTCGTTATATATACTTAAATTAACTTATGTTTTTATGAATGTATGTTAATTTGAATTAATGTAACAAAGTATTAAATAATATCAAATTTTTGTAAAGATTTGAAAACTTTATTTATTCATTAAGAACTTTTAATTTAACAGTTGAATATCACAAAATCCTAGAAGTGAAGATTACTAGAGATCGTTCTAGAAGAATGTTGTGGATGGATATCACAAAAAAAAAAAAAAAAACCCTATATTGAGTAGATTCTTGATAGGTTCAATATGCACAATGTAAGACTTGTGTGAGTTCCATTGGCTGGACATTTTAAGTTAACCAAGTATGAATGTCCAAAGAATGACAAAGAAAGAAGAAATGGGCAAAGTGTCTTATTCATTTGTTAAGGTAGCCTTATATATGTAATGATTAATTTGTACAAGGTCAAATATTGTTTATGTTGTAGGAGTTGAGGGTAGATTCCTATCAAACCCAAGAAAAAAAAACATTAGGAAACAATGAAATGAAAACTAAGGTATTTGAGAGAAACTATCAAAAGGTGTTTGTGCTTTGACAATGGAAATCTAGCTTTGTATATCTATGACTCGACTTTGCCCCTGTATGGATCTACATTAGTCACTTTATTATCAGTATAGTTCAACCTGATCCTTATAAAATTTTATATTAGTCGCTTTATATATATATGACTTGACCTAGACTCCATACAACATCAACTAAGGTCTTAAAGGAGACTCAACACTTCACTTCAAAAAGTCAACTTTTCAAGAAGGGTTTTCAACAACTGGACTTGTAGAGCACCACAACATCATATCCTTACAATAAGATATTCAAATTTTTAAAACAAATCACTCCTCTAGTCCTAAGTCAATCAACACAACTCAACTACATGCTTTAAGTATTCTCAACACAACCACCTCAACAATACACAACTTACAACTCTAATGTACTTCAACATTTAACAATTAATAGCTTTCATCAATGTAAGCATCATTATCAATATACTTCATCCTAGATTAATGTATAAAGTGTACTAGAATCATACAAAAACTTAGATCATGTGAGCAATTCAATCTACTAGCACACGTTCAACACTTAGTCAATAAAACAACAAGTTTTTCATTTAACATCTCACCCTTGACATCATTGAGGCAAAGATCCTTAAGCTCGCCCATGCTCGAATGAGACAAAAAGATCTTATGTTAATCACACCTAGCATGATTAATCCCACATCTGGCCTCATTCAAGTAGAGAGCCTCTACTTAACTCACGTTTGATGTCACTACACTAGCATCTGATGTCATCTAATCAAAGAACTTTTATTTGTTGAATCCTACTTAATTATAGTTTTAATAATTACAAATTCTTAGTTTCAAATTCTAAAATAAAAGAGTTATCTTTTGTGTGCTAATAAGTTTGTTCAAATGTTTCAGCAATAGTTAAATATGATCAGAAGGTTACTTAAGCTCATGATTCCTTGAACAGTAAAGGATATTCATAAGACATCTATGTAAAGAAGATTTAGTTATGATGGATTGCCTATTAGCACTAAAGACATGTCTATCCCAAGCAAGAAGATGAGTCTCCTAAGTCTTTGATTAGAAAGATTCAAGTCAAACATTTCTTCTCAGGAAAAATATCTTGAAGACTTGGTTCAGGAAACTAGCACTTTAAGATGACTATTAAAAGGCTTCAATTAAAATAATGTTTCTCAGAAGACTTGTATTGAAGACCTTGTTCAATAGGCATGAAATGAAGACCTACTTAGAAGGCACTTCATTTGTAAAAAGTTGATATAGGACCAGAAAAAGCAAAGTGCAACAATGTTAGCATCTAGCTTAAAAAATAAGCAAGCCACAACGATATATTACTAAGTGGCTATAAAGGGAAGACAAAAGTATCATAGCAAGATAAAATAAAGAAATTAGCTACATAAACACAATTAGCTACATTCCTTACTCTATATTTTGAATTTTTCAAACACTTCCACTTTTGTATAGATGTTTTGTAATAGAAAAGAAATGGGAAACGTTTCTGAGTGGAAACTCCAACATAGGAGAGACATTTGTGGTCTTAGCAATCTACAAAAACACAAAAAAAAACCATTATTGTAAACATTATTCCTACCTAGAACTGAGTGCACAGTGGTGTAAGGAAGTAGAAATAAATCATAACAGGTGTTGTGTAGTCTCATAGTAGGTGGTTGTGGGGCTATTTTCTCAATAGGTTGTTGAATGTGAAAATCTTAGTAGGTGGTTGAGTATTTGCTACTAATAACATGTGGTTGTGTAGTAGTGTTTGAGTTCTTAAATAGTAATTGGTTGTGTTTTTAGTAAAAATCCCATAAGATTATGTGGGGACTAAATATATCCTATAGTTGAAGTGAATCAGTTTAAATTATGTGTTCAACTTCTCTCTCTTTATCTTTTTACTTGTTTATTTAACTTGTTGCATTCACTGTTACACTACTACATGATTTGAATCACAAACAAGTAAACTCATAAACTATTTTAAAAAAATATATTAAGTCCCAACACTTAGAATACTAGTCTTCTAAATAATAGATTTTGCAAAAGGAACAACTTTTTAAATAGATAACAATTCAAACCTCCCTTCTTATAGTCTAACATTCACTTCACTATTTTGATCAAGCCTAGTGCCACTCAATTGGGGTCAACAGCACCAAGTCAAACTCCAAGGGTATTCATACCTAAAGTCATTCAACCCACGTTTGACGTAACCAAGTTAGAAAACTCTCTTCTAACTCACACCTAGTGCCACCAATTTTGCACCCAAGTAAGGCAGAGAGACTCTACCTACATCACGCTTGACATCTTGAAGTTGAGTCTAGCACAACGATGAATTCTACACTTGGCATTCATGTTTTGGCTCATTAATTCCACCTAAAACTCAAAAAAAAATTCAACATGCAAAGCATAATAATACACATAGGCATTCCAAGCGATTAAAATACGACAACAAAATCAACATTTAACCATTACACGATGAAATCCAACAATTTCTCCTCAACACTCTTAAGAACCCAAAAACTCAACTTTCAAACCCCATTTCAAAAATCAACAAAACCATAAATTTCAAAGAAACTCAAGCAATATACAACATTATAAATCATCAAGAAGTTAAGCTCTAGCTTCCCTTACATTTGAATCACATAGAAAAGAAGAGAAGGAAAAAGAAGATCATTCCGACCTAACTCCACATGGAACCATAGCCACTTGATTCTTAGTTACAGAAGCTTTGAATCTCCACTCAGTTATGATCGAGGGAAGGTTACCTACACTCTCTGGAAGGCTAAGAAGAAGGAAGAAGAATCTTGACTCCAAAAGTCCTCTCTTTAAATTCTTTATAACCTTATGAAGAAATGAACTTATAAAGTCTATTTCTAAAGAAAAACCTTATGTATCATTCTTAGACTAATCAACTTGACCCTTACTTAGAGTAACTCCCAAAAC